TTGCTCAAAGAAGAAACTCAATATTAAAAAAGGATGGAGTTCTTGTATAACCAACTTTCCAAATCTTCATACAAAGAGTCCCTAAAAGTTCTAGAGGTTGATATACAACACGCCAATGCTTTGTGAGTTTTAATCGCTTTTCTTTCTCTTGTTGCTTACCCGTGTTTCTGTTTTTCTTCCCTTTTGTTTATTTCTTTTTCATCTGTATCCTCCAAGCGTATCTATTATTTCTTTTATCCATGCTTTTGAGGGCATTTCTGTGCTTCGGTAATTCATGACCGAAAAAGAAGGCAAGAGATATAGCAACATGGAGTTGGATGGGCTTTTGGTCTGTAAAATGGAGTTCGGTGATGCTTCAGTGAGTCTTCTCCGATTTTATGGCTGACGGAAGCTTGTAAATCGAATGGAGGCCTTACCACCGCAACAGCGGTTGCGTGTTACCCAAGTCTAGAGGCGATCTCTCCAAAGGGTCTCCTCGGAATGGCATGATATTGTGCCTTTACTAATCGTTCGGAGAGGTACCAGTGGTGGTGGTAGCAATGGGGGCGGGGAAGGGGCAGCAGCAGGAGAGAGAAAATTCACTGTTCATCGTCTCCCACCTTGAGACGAAAAATAGAGTAGTGGCGCAAAGAACAAGGTTTGAGTATCTTCTGAACATGACGGGCTCCAACAAGGCCTTGGGTGAAGAAACATGTCCTGCACCACCTTCCCTGGCCCCACCCCGCCCCCGATCAATGTCTTTCCATTCCTTCCCTCCGCTTGCCACCTGATTGACGAACCTTAATCATTCAATTGCGAGGCCGACGACCTTGGGGACTGAATTCTCCGACGAGTCAATGGTTGTCTAGCACCGGTGATCGTGTGGCTGTCGTTGCCTGCGACGACGATACCAAAATCACCGCCAAAGCTTCAACTTCCAACAATGGTAGTAAACAATAAGAGTATTTTAGGAATCTTAAAATAATTATCACTTACATGATGCCATATGTGAACGGAGTATGATAGTATTTTAAGACAATTATCAAAAAAATTAAAGTATTTTAAGACAATAACTAAACAGTTAGGTGGAGTTCGCCAATTTCAGTTGGATAATTTAAGAGATTTACCCAAACTCAAATTAAACAGGAGAATATTTGCATTTGTCTAGACTCTAGACTCTAGAGGTAGAGCCCAAGGCCCATTCTTGTTTGGACTAAGGTGTCTTTTCCTTTTCACCAAAGTTTGAAATTAAACTCGATTTTGATTTTTCATTTTCAAAAGTAACAATACCTATCCTGGCGTAGATGGGTTGGGCCTGGATCGGCCAAAGTTGTTAAGTTCAAGTGGCCAGGGATCGACCTTTTATCTAGTAAATATAGATTCTACATTGACATTCTTACTATAAAAATAAAAAAAAATTAGAAATCCTCATTGTTTTCATTATTTCCCATTACCAGGGATCAATCTAGTTTTCCAAGATTTCATTATTTCCCATTCCCCCTGTTTTTTCTTTCTTTAATTAATGAAATAAAGGGCAACTTAGTCTAGGCGGGGTGTTCTCTTGACCAACTCCCTCCCCCCTCCCCCCGCCCCCTCAAAATCCTAAAACCGAACACCCCCTAAGAAACACATTATTCCTCATTGTGCATATAACTCCTGATTTTGAACAGACTTATATGTTAGGAATTTGCTAAATTTTTAACGGCTTTGGCCCAAAAGTCCGAGTCCAATGCAGTTAAAATCTTTAAATCGGATACCCAATTTGATCCAACCCTATTGGCTCAAGTTTGGGCCAGCCTTCATTGGGCTTTGGTTTGGGTTAAAGCTGAACTTCGTATTAGTATGAAAAGTTACACAGTTCTTTGGCTCTTTGTCCTCGTTGAAGCCAAAGTCACATTGAAATGGCGAACTGCAAAAGCGAAAGAAAAAATAAAATAAAATAAAAACAAAAACAAAAACAAAAAATAAAAACATTACCAATAATAGTGGTATTATTTATGAGACAGGTTGGGTCGAGTTCAATAATCATATTTGAACAGACTTAGTACAGGGCAAGTATTCTATATTTTTATTTATGTATTCTTGTAAATTTTGTTGGGCACCTAATTTTTATATTGTAAATTTAAGTTATTGTTTTATTTAATTTTATATTTATAGATTTGTTATTTAATTTAAGAAATTAAGAAAAGTTTTATTACTAAATAATAACCTACTGTATGGATCATTTGAAATGATTTTTTTTTTTTGTTTTTACTTCTTAGTAGAGATAACTATCACTAATTTTTTGAGAGTGGAAGTCACTACCATTTGAATGAATTCACACACAGAAAGAAAGTTTTAATTTGAGGAATTCACATCAGCACCCATAGGCATCCAAACAATCAAAACCCACCATTTGTTATCGTGCACGACTTCACCCTTAATGTGTGTGGAGCTAATGGGGCAGAAGTTAGCTCCAAACATTTGCACAAAAGCCCATAAGAACGATTCAGTTCATCATTTTGATCAAGTTCGAATGTGAAATATAAGCAGGAGGGGGCATGCCGGAGTTCAAATCTGCCCCCGACAACATCCCACAATGTCGGAGTTCAAATCCCGATGATGACATCATCACTTCTGGAATCATCATCAAGAATATACGGCTTGAATGTGCTGTGGGACGTTGTGGGGATAATCTTGTGGGGGCAAATTTGCTCTCGCCGGATGGATCGGGTTCAGACTTCAGAGGCAACTTGTTGCAACAGTGGACGTGAGGCGGTGGTTCAGTGGTAAGACAGGAAAAACAGGGGCTGGAGAGAGAGAGAGAGAGCGCGAGCAGCAAGTCTGCAACGCCCCAATTTATTTTTGATTATCAAATCCTCTTTCTTTATTTGCTGAAAATGGGCTTTTCTGAATCTGTCAAAACAATCATTCTTCTATAGTTCCTGTTCATCTCAACTTCCCCAATCTGTGCTCCAAAGCTAGAAAGGTAACAACCCTACAAGCCAGAACCTATCTTCTAACCTTTCACAAAATGAAGTTTTACTCGAAGTCCCTGTTTATATTCTCTAGTACAAAAAATTCACCCCAGCTTAAAATTCCGTTATTGCAGACTTCAAAACAACAAAAGGCTTCTTCGTCTACAACACAGCATCTTCGGTTTATCAGTGGTGGAAAACCATCGAAACCTACACGAAGAATGTTGGGAAGAAGAGTCAGAGTCCGGATTTCCTGCACTCGAAATGGTGTGGACAGTGATGCACTTCCAATAAGAAATAAATACATCACAGGTACGTTGTTTATATAGAAATAAGGGTAAAATTCCCTTTAAACTATAATGTTTTTATTTTTGAAATTAATTAAAAGGAAATAGTGAAAAAATGAAAGGGAGTCCTTTGAGACTTGCCCCCTTTGACCCTTTGGACTCCAAACGAACGATAACTCCATTAAACGAAGGTGCTATCCACCATTGTAGGAGACCTTCTTGGGTAGGATAGAACTACAAGAGGTCTCCTGAAGTATTGTTAGACATGTTGGACAAGGGCCAGGGTGAGATGTCCCGATGTCTGAAGGACTAGGAATAATTCCAACGTTAACCTCCCCATTTTTCTTCAATTTCCAATATCCGGAACTAAAGTTCAGGCCTACTCGGCAGGATGGGAAATGGTGGTGCTTAAGCAGATTCCATATATATGATGATGATTGCATCATCCTCCCTCCAAGCAAACCGGAAGGACTGCATACCTTTTTACAGGATTATCAACATCAAGGGAAAGTAAAATCAGGACCGAATCCTTCATTATCATGATATGGTGTTCATATAGAGGACCCAACATCTCAGCAACAACCGGCTATCATTTGCAGAGCACATTCTGAAACATTTGAAATCTTACAATCGCATTATTTTCTTCATTTATTTTTGTACTGGTGGATTCCCATCAGCGTTGAAGGCTATGGCAAGAGAAGTTGGACCATCTGATTCTTCTATTCAAAAGAAGAAGACCTATGATTCGTTATTGAATCCCTTTGAAGAAGATTGAATCCCCATCTATATTTTCAAGGGTTCATTGTGAAGATTTAAGGAACTAAACAAGTGGATTTTCTACCCCTGACTTAAGCTCGTCTTATGCAATCGTTAATGGTGGATATCACTAGGCTTTCATGGTGTTTTCGTTTAGAACCTAAAAGACTTGGGTTTCCTCTATTTTTTTCACTTTAACTTTTTTTTTTAGTTTTAAAAATAAAAATATTAGTTAACAGAAGTTTCACCGTTTGGTATTCCTCCACACATGAGGAATGGGGTGCCCATGTCAACACCAGACGTGTTCATTTCTGATTGGAAATGCACCCCTACCCACACCATTTTGAGTGCAGGATATCTGGACTCCAATCAAGGGCAGGAATATGAGGAAATATTGGCTTTTATGCGAATTTGAAGCTAACGGGACAAGCTCACGTCCGTCCCATTAGCTTGCACACATTAAGGGTGGACTCGTGCAAGATGACAAGTGGCGTCTTTTGATTGTTTGGGGTGCTGATGTGAATTGTTATTTGAGAATGAAAACAACCACTTTTGATATGCTCTTTATTTCTTAAAACTAGTGAGGGGCGCCTGTGCACGGGCGAATAATACAGAATAATTGAGAGTAATAAATGATAAAAAAGAAAAGAAATGATTAAAAAACTAAATGAATTTCTTCTATTACAAACACATGATCCTATAGAAACTGCATTCATTATTTATGATACAATTAATTTGGCAAGATTATGTTTAGAATCATCTTTCTTTTTTGTTATATCACCTAGAGTCACCTAAATACCTTGTCAACTATGGGATTTACAAACATAAGGAAATATTTACATAGACTACCAAAGTGATAAAAAATATCAAAATATCTAACTGATGTAGAATGGATACATGTTTCACAAGGACAAGAATTACAGGACATCACACATCACTTACTCTTCAAAGTTTCACCAACAAACTCTGCAATTGCCTTGACTGCCTTATCATCAGCTTCATCTTTGGTTGATCCACTTGATTGTAGGTCCTTTTATCCAATCTTGAAGGATGGATCTCCACCATCAATCACATGCAATTTATTGATGGAGATTTCATCTTTTTGCAAACTGCAAACATCTTATCTAGTGGACAGAGCCCAATCTTTGCTACCCTCCATCAAAATCAAACAAATATTTGTGTAAGAAGTAGGGACAAAAGACTATGAAAAATGGAGAAGGGGAAAGGACATAGAATAAGCAGTCAATTACAGCGTCGTTTCAGTAGAAAAAAATTGTAGTAGCATTGAATTAAACATCTAACGCAACCCTCATTAAATTGTGAGATCAAACTACCAACAACCCAAATGCATGGGACACATGTAGGATGCAGGTTTAAATTGTCATTGTCTAAAATGCTTGGATACCAAGAATAAACAAATGGATAACACATTTATAACCATCTAATACAGGATCACATACATAAAGTACACACGCAGGATACAAGATAGGAACATTGCCCAATGATGGCCCTGGCAAGCCAAAGTCTTGGAAAAGAGAATTGAATAAGCCATATAAGAGAAGGTGCTTCTAAGTTTAGATTTGGAAGCATTAACTTTTGGACTTCATCTTATTAACCAAAATGTAAAACCAAATAAAAACTTTGATATCCAAATAAATACAAATATATTCACAACTAATGATGGATCAATTCATTTGACCCAATACAAACAATAATAAATGAGAAAAATGGATAGAAATTGTTGTCTTAGAAACCTTCCACTAAAAAAATTTATGATTTTACCAAGGATCTCAACACAAAAATTGGAAATTTTGTACAATGCAAAACTAAAACAAAAAAAAAACAAGGTAAGTTACAATTATATCTAATTTGGATTGAAAATGAAGAAAATAGAATAACAAAAGAAGCTAAACATAAGGTTCATGGATTAAAAACTTTAATTGTTCAGTGTTCACTAACGTTTTCATATTATCCTTCCCCACATAATTAATGAATGTTTTTTTTTTTTGGTTGTTGACAGAGATGACATTGACAAATTTGGGGAAAACAGCGCTTGTTTGTTGTTTTCAAGGCTCTAAAACCACACTTGTTTGTTCTGTAAGAAAACAAATCAAATAGTTAGATCATGAAAAGATCGATTCCATAGCATCTTCTACCCAAATGATTCCATAGCATCTACTACTCGCATGCTACAATAGAATTCCTACAAAACAAATAAACACAAAATAATCAGAACATAGGAATCAAAAACCAAGCAACCATCTTATATTTCCCTGCAAATGGAAGAAGACGGTGGGAATGGAAGAGTACACTGGGAAAGGAGAGGAAAACTCTCAAGTCAAGAACACCCATCAGAATTCGCATGTTCGAATTGTTGTCAAATGGAGTCATCGAAAAACAGTGAACCAAAAAAATCAGATGTTTATAAAACCAAATCTACTTCTTCCAATCGGAAGATATTGACTATATGTTAAAGAACTTAAAAGACAGAGTTGTTGCATCTTGCAACAAAATATTTGAACTGTGATTAGCAACATTCAAGGAAGAAAGTGTAGACAATAATAAGAGCATAGGACTATCCATCTAGGAATCAATATACCCACTTTTAATTTATATTCCTCCAAATTCTAAGATGCAATCTGATCTCATTTCCATGTTCAAAGTGGGTTTATTCCATACATCTTAAGAAATTGCAAATAACCCATCAGCCGTGGACTCCCATATATACCTAAAAATAAAAAAGAAAATTTATATTGGTTTTCCATGTCCGCAAAGGATCCAAGAGAGAGACAAGAAAAACTTTCAAAATTAATTGGTCAAAACGTCAAAATGTTACTATCTGTATCGATGACTGAACATAGTCAACAACAAGATGCACAGAGTAAAACCCAACTTCAAAACTGCCCCGTTGAGGTTAAGGTCACCTCTAGTATGCGTTTTCTCCACAAAAGTTGCATAAGAAAGAAAAATCTGACTTGGTACAATCCAAAACTGAACAATAAGCATCACAATGTTTTCTTGTCTAGACCAAATAAAAATAGTTTCCATCAAACGCAACACTAACAAGAAACCTAAAATACCAACAAGATTCACCTAACCAAAACCAAAAAACACAAATCGTCAAAACCAGCAAACCCAAAACTGGAAGAAAATAGATAGCTTCGACTTACGAAAACCCCCTTCGCCGAGAACTAGAAATCAATACCTACAAAAAACAGACAAATAGAAACCAACCTATTAGGGTTACAGAGAAAGAGAGATTGAGAGAGATGTTACCTGCAGTTTAGTGTTGAACTCTTGGCAAGATTCGGTGGCATTAAAAACGGATGATGCTAACAAGTTCACAAACCCATTCCTCTCAACAATGCCTCATGAGGTGGTGACTCGTCGCGCCTCCACCTCCTGCAAACAATGTCAAAACGAGAATACCGTAAGGAGAAATTGCATATCAAGAAAAGGGACAAGTGTTGGTATTGGGTTGTCACATCAAGAAAATGAGCAAGCCACTCCTGTTACACGAGATAGGGAGAGAGGATGAATAAGATAGGGCGATAGAAGTGAGTTTTCAGAAGAAGTGGGAGGAGGACAATAGAGAGGTAGCGAGGAGGGGGAGGAGAGTGAGGGAAGCGAGGAAGCAGGAAGAGAGGTAGAGAAGAAAGAGAGAGTGGGAAGAGGAAGTGGAAAGAGAGAGAGAGAAAGTGGAGTAGTGAGACACGTGCCACACATGCACTGAAAGTAGTGAGACACACATGCTCGATTTTTTCTCTCGTGCGATCATTGATCTACTCAATATTTTTGAACCGTCATTGATCCGGACGATTGGGCCATTTGGACCAGAAATTGGTCACTCGAACAGTTTTGGTTTTACCCCGAACCGCCATCTAGCCCAAAACCACTGAAATGGTCAAAAAAATCATTGACCTAAATGATTGAATCGTCAACTCGTTCGACCCGGACAATGGTTAGCGGTTCGGCATTTTTTATTATTTTGTTTTGAAATAAAAAACAAAAAAGAAAATGACAAACATATCCCAACTAAACATTCAATGACTTAGGGTTTTGTTTTTCCAAAACCCAACATCTTTACAAGCTTCACCGAAGAAGACGACGACAGCACACCGACACCTACCTTCCTGAAGTCTGAACAACCACCCGCCGGCGACCAAGATTTTCTGTGGAAGTCAGCGAACACGGTGGAAGACTCTGTTTCCTTTGTTTTGGAACATCTCTGATCTCTTGAAACAAAAGGCATCTCTTGAAGGGAACAACAGCGACCACTGTGGACATCCAACCTCCGACGACCAATCTTAGCTGCGACTGCTGGCAACCACTCTGAAAGGAGTACAACGGCGACTATAAGGTAAAAACTTGCATGTGATTATGTTTTTTTCATTTTCTCTAATTTGATCATAATCTTTGTGTATTAAACCATTAACTCATTACCCTTTTTTCCTTTTTGCAATACTGTTATTTCTTGCATCAAGAATCACCATTTGCATCGGCGACCACTCCATTGGAACTAAGAACCACTGCAAAATTACATTCCTTATTTTCTAAAAGTGATTTGAAGCTTAAAATGGTATATTAACGTGTTTTTTAAGCTTAAAGCCTTAAACTTTGGATTTATATCATGCCTCATGCTTTATTCGTATACTTGAATCGGTTAATCTTGTCTTTTTGTCTCTTTAGCTATTTGAAGAAATTCATTCTCTTAAAAACTAGAAAGTTAGAATTGAAATTCATTCTCTTAATTTCTTAGAGTAGTTACTTTCAAAAGGGCAAAAATGTTGAAAACTTGAAATGCTCACTGTAGTTTTTTTATTTCAATTTATTTTATTAATATAAAATAATATATACTTCATACGGATTTCGTTTGATTTGCTTGATAATATATATTTCAGCATATTAAGACAAAAGTGTTGAATTGTTTGATAATGTATTTCAGATTAATTTTTGGTCGTTTATCTGATTTCAATTTAATTATTGATAGTATACATATTTCACCACTAGTATTTTTTCCTAGCTTTTTTTCCTCCCAAGTGCTTCTCCAAACAACATTAGATATCTGTATGGTTGAATTTTTCCTCATACAAATTGGAGGAAAAATATTTGTATTTTTTTGTAATTTTCTATGGGTTTTTTGGAATTTTTTTTGTATTTTATTATTTTTATACTTAGATATTTTTATTTTTTCATATGATGTTCTTTTCCCCATATTTTTTGTGTATTTTATTTAAATTTTATTATATATAATTTTTTTGTTTTTAATTTATTTATGACATAACGGGTCAAACCGTTCGACCTGAACGGTTGAACCGCCAAACCGAAAAATGGTGCCCAAAACAGTCCCATTTCTGGATCGGTTTTTAAAACCCTGTATCTACTCACACGAGTAGATTCCATTTATCGCACCGAAAGCACACCCATTGACATTCAAAAGGACCAAAACTATTACATTCAAGGTAGGAGCAAACAGAACCTCACAAAACTTGTGGGTTGTGAGGGCCACGACTGACCACATGGTAGCGGAGACATGGTTTTATTATTTTTTTTATTTTTGAGATTATAAATATTTATTTATTTCTATAATTTTTTGCTATGATTTAAACTCTAATAATAAATATTTACAATAAATGTACGGATGATCTATTATGTCCATAAACCCATTCAATTTTTTTGTTACATATTTACTTTTTAAACTTTAGTTTAATTTTTAGAATAAAATATGCAAAATATTTTTTTGATAAAAAATAAATAATTATTTAGTTTTTGGAATGAAACATGCCAAATAAGTATTTAATCCATCATGTCCATAAATCCATTCAATTTTTTTGTTACATATTTAATTTTTTAAATTTTAATTTAATTTTTAAAACAAAACATGCAAACAAATTTTTTGAATGAGACATGCAAAATATTTATTAATTTTAGAATAAAAATAATATATATCCATGAAGCCATTCAAAAAATATTTGTTTAATATTTAGAATAAAATATGCAAAATAATTATTTGATTAAAAATAAATAATTATTTAGAAAAGGCAGAAAATTTGTTTGATTCAATAATTGAAATTAGGTAACACTTGGCAAAGTGTTTAAAACAAATAAAAAGAGTTTTTAGTAATATTTAAAATTAAAAAAAAAAATACACATTGATATATTTCACATGATAATCTATAATTTGAGTGTGAATATAATTATGGCCTCAAAAATATGAAAAGAATTATTATTTGTTTAATTGAATACTTGTGTTAGATAATAATTGAAAAAAATATTTAAAAATGTTTTTAAAAAATTTCATAATAACAAATGAAAATTAGTTTACTAACACATTAACCCTTAAAATTGGATAATTTATATAATAATTGAATTTTTATGTAATTCATTTAAAGTTGTAAAAATCATACTGGGATTCAAATGTTGAATTTTTAAGTTATAATATATTTAAAATTTGAAGTTGGAACTGAATTAAGTATTTTATTAGATAGTATGTTTTTGTTCCCTTTTGTTGATTATAATATGTTTTTTTCTCATAAAACCCATTAAAACATGTGATTTTTATGTACAAATAGCTCATTTAAGTCTTATATTTAGTGATATTGTTGTTTATTATGTTTTATTTGAGTATTTATAGCATTTCCATGTATTTCCATGCGTATCTTAATTTTTCGTCTATATTCATGCGTATTCAAAGCGTATCCCAATATGTCTCTTAAATTTGACTTTCTGATACACATAGCGTTTCCAATACTTTGAACCTTGCTGAAAAGTATTCTGGATAATAAATCCAACCCAACAAATTGTATCCCAAGTTTTTTCTGAATGATAGGGTTAAAAAATAGGGTAAATTATGAAGACCCCCTGTGTTATGGGGTCAGTGAGAAAGACACCCTATACTTTAATTTATGACGAAAACCTCTCTGAACTTTTACGTTGTGACTAATAGCCCCTCAACCATTTAAGTCAAATGACAGCTCTAAATAACTAAAACACCCTATTAAACTTTCTCTATATTATTTTTCTTGCCATTTTCTCTTAAAACCTAATTGACCCAATTTATTTCTTTCACAGGAAAATACTTTTTGTCATATCACTGGTGATCATTACCGGAAAAGAAAAAATCTCCTGTTAGTTCATTAAGAAAAAATTCGTGTCCACCCTCCACAACACCAATGTGAACTCAAACTATGGGTATAGTAGAAACTTAGAAAATGATGGGAAGGAGAAAACCAATAATGGTGACAATACAAAAGAAACAGAGAGAAAGTCAAGGTCACACTATTTTATTCTATAATTAGCGTTAACCCAAACTAGAAACCAATAACAATAGTAATAGTAGTAATTGATAAACATTAACATTTTCTGGCCAAACTAATATCATATTTTATCATGAGATTACTCATTAGAAGCTAAAATCAACTTCCTAATGGGGCTCAAACAAACATGCTCACCGGTCACCACTCTATTTCTGCAAAATCCAGTTACAGAATAAGAATTCATTTTAGTTTACAAAATAACAGCATTATTTCATGATTTCTCTTGACAAGAAGGATTAAAACAAGAAAAAAAAAAGGAATAGGAAAGCCCAAAGCACCAACTCCAAATATTTCTCTCTAGGATCTCTCTGTGCATTGTTAACATCGTTCAAATCATCAAATGAAGAGGGGGGATTCAAAATCCAAAAAGAAAAATTGGTGAAGCTAGGTGCATGACGAATTTAAAGTCTAGATATGCTGGAACATATTAAAACCAGCTCCAGTTAGGTCTTGGATAGTGACGTCAATGAAAAGTAACTAAAATCACATGATCTCTGTGTTCGTTTATGCTTATCTTGCTACGGACGTAGGTCCAGTTCTTCAGATTTGATCCCGTTGAACTGAAACTGGAAAACGGGATATTAGTACCCTTTTGGAATTCAAACAAAAGAAAGGGATCTACGATTTGTTTTGTTAGGAAATTTTCTTCTGAATCTCCATCGAGTCTGGCAACAAGGTAGCCCGAACTATTAATGGAAAATGCCTGCCCAAATTCCTCCGAGTTGTGTGCGTTGAGGCCTTCTAAGCTGAGATGATTGCAAGGAGGGTTCTTCCCTGCTTTTCTTGTCATTCCGTAATTCAGCTTCGATCCGTGGCTTGTGAGTGTTTGAATCAATTCTTTGTTGCCTCAATTTCTTCTTCATACATGAATTCCATAAGTTATTTATCTCTGCTTCCATGAAACTGTGGTGGAATTTGAGTTGAAAGCTTCAGCTGTTAAGCGGGCTGTGAAAACAATGTTAAGATTTCAGGTCAGTATTTAAATACATGGGGCCTACGAATTTATTACTGAAGTGGAACTTCATCATTAGTTCCACAGCCCACTGAACATTTAAAGTGTTTGGCTAATCCGAATTCCAAATCCACACAGACACTGTTGCTGGAAATTGTTCTTCAAGGTTGGACTTGATAACGCCAATGAGATCAAAACCCTTCATTGTTTCATTGCGAGGAGCATCTCTCTCGGACTCAACTCCATTGCTGGATTCTAAAAGAAGGGAGGCATCGTGTCCCTGCAAAAATAAAAGAAAACCAAATCAACTAGAAAGGGTAATTTAGGCATTTAAAAAAGTTAAACAGTCAAATGAGAATCTTTTTCTAGGTTAATTAACAGAACGCT